TGAGGCTGAGGATGAAGGGGAGGATGAGGGGGGAGGATGAGGATGAGGGGGGAGGCTGAGGATGAGGCTGAAGGGGAGGATGAGGGGGGAGGATGAGGATGAGGTGGGGAGGATGAGGATGAGGCTGATGAGGAGGATGAGGATGAGGCTGAGGCTGAAGGGGAGGATGAGGCCGAGGCCGAAGCACGCACTGGGGTTCTTCATCTGGAAGTGGTTGAGGAAGCCGAGCGTCTCCAGGGCGTCGCTCTTGGAGTCCCACTCCAGCAGCCCCGAGGAGCTGCGCTCTGTCCTGGTTCCAGCCAGGATAAGCTTAGTTTTTGCAGAAGCCAGGAGGGGACATGGCCAAGATCTGCAGGTTATTCTGTGCCAGCTCATGTCATTTTCTGGGGCTGGGAAGGAGGAGGAGGATGAAGAGGCCGAGGAAGATGAAGAGAATGAGGAGAAGGATGAAGAGGAGAATGAAGAGGATGAAGGGAAAGATGAGGAGGAGGATGAAAGGAAGGATGAAGGAAAGGCTGAGGATGAAGAGGAGGATAAAGGGGAGGATGAGGAGGATGAGGACGGCGCCGAGGCCGAAGGCAGCGCACCTCGTAGAAGCTGTCCTGGGTTGGGGTCAGGGTTACAGATGATGAAGAGGAGGATGGACAGGATGAAGGAGAAGGATGAAGGGGATGATAAGGAGGCTGAGGATGATGAAGGGGAGGATGCTGAGGAGGGCACCGAGGCCGAAGGCAGCCCCACCTCGTAGAAGTTGTCCTCGGTGACACCCAGGGCTGGGGTGAGGAACCAGGTCAGGGGTACAGGTGATGAAGGGGAGGATGAGGATGAAGGGGAGGCTGAGGATGAAGGGGAGGATGGTGAGGATAAAGGGGAGGATTCAGGGGAGCATGGTGAGGATGCTGAGGATGGCACTGAGGCCGAAGGGCCCACCTCGTAGAAGTTGTCCTCGGTGACGTCGAGGGCTGGGGTTGGGGACAGGGTCAGGGGTACAGATGAGGATGATGAGGCTGAGGATGAGGATGCAGGGGAGGATGAGGATGAAGGGGAGGATGCAGAGGAGGATGCAGGTGAGGAAGATGAGGACGGCACCGAGGCCGAAGGGCCCCACCTCGTAGAAGCTGTCCTTGGTGACACCGAGGGCTGGGGTCGGGGACAGGGTTAGGGGTACAGGTGATGAAGGGGAGGATGAGGATGAGGATGAAGGGGAGGCTGAGGATGATGCTGAGAAGGATGAGGATGAAGAGGTTGAAGAGGATGATGAAGGGGAGGCTGAGGAGGATGAGGAGGAAAATGAAGAGAAGAACAAGGATGAGGCTGAGGAGGATGAACGGGAGCATGAGGAGGAGGCTGAGGAGGATGAGGATGGCACCGAGGCCGAAGGCAGCCGCACCTCACAGAAGCTGTCCTGGGTGACATCAAGGGCTGGGGTTGGGGATGACGAAGAGGAGGAGGATGAGGATGAAAGAGAAGGAAGAACGGAAGGATAAGGAGGATGAGGACAATGAAGAGGAGGATGGTGAGGAGGATGAGGACGGCGCCGAGGCCGAAGGCCGCCCCACCTTGTAGAAGCTGTCCTTGCTGACATCGAGGGTTGGGGTCAGGGACAGGACAGGGTTACAGATGAGGATGGTGAGGCTGAGGATGAGGATGAAGGGGAGGATGATGAGGATGGCACTGAGGCCGAAGGCAGCCCCACCTCGGAGAAGTTGTCCTCGGGGACGTTGAGGGTTGGGGTCAGGGACAGGACAGGGGTACAGATGAGGATGGTGAGGCTGAGGATGAGGATGAAGGGGAGGATGATGAGGATGGCACTGAGGCCGAAGGCAGCCCCACCTCGTAGAAGTTGTCCTCGGTGACGCCGAGGGCTGGGGTCAGGGACAGGGTGAGGGGTACAGGTGATGAAGGGGAGGCTGAGGATGAGGATGAAGGGGAGCATGCTGAGGATGCTGAGGATGGCACTGAGGCCGAAGGGCCCCACCTCGTAGAAGTTGTCCTCGGTGACATCCAGGGTTGGGGTTAGACATGGGGATGATGAAGAGGAGGATGGACAGGATGAAGGAGGAGGATGAAGGGGAGGCTGAGGCTGAGGATGAAGGGGAGGCTGAGGATGCAGGGGAGGATGATGAGGAGGATGAGGACGGCGCCGAGGCCGAAGGCAGCCCCACCTCGTAGAAGTTGTCCTCGGTGACACCGAGGGCTGGGGTCAGGGACAGGGTTAGGGGTACAGGTGAGGATGGTGAGGCTGAGGATGAGGATGAAGGGGAGGCTGAGGCTGATGATGGGGAGCATGGTGAGGAGGATGAGGACGCTGCCGAGGCCGAAGGGCAGCCCCACCTCGTAGAAGCTGTCCTCGGTGACGTCGAGGGCTGGGGTCAGGGACAGGACAGGGTTACAGATGAGGATGGTGAGGCTGAGGATGAGGATGAAGGGGAGGCTGAGGATGATGAAGGGGAGGAAGATGAGGACGGCACCGAGGCCGAAGGCAGCCCCACCTCGTAGAAGTTGTCCTCGGTGACGCCGAGGGCTGGGGTCAGGGACAGGGTGAGGGTTACAGGTGATGAAGGGAAGGCTGAGGATCAAGGGGAGGATGCAGGGGAGGATGCAGGTGAGGATGATGAGGATGCTGAGGACGGCGCCGAGGCCGAAGGCCGCCCCACCTCGTAGAAGTTGTCCTCGGTGACGTCGAGCGGCGCGTTGAAGAAGTGCAGCACGTTGCTGGGGTGCTGGATGCGGTTCTTGGCCGCCTGCTCGGGCGTGGAGAAGCGATTGTTGCGCGAGCCGCTGAAGTCCTTGTAGCTGCACGAGCCGTCCTCCAGCCCGTAGGACTGCCCCGGCATGATGGCGTGCGGCTTGGAGACACTGGGGGGACCGAAATGGGGAGAAATGGGGCAAAAACGGGGCGAAATGGGGAAAAAATAGGGAAAAAACGGGGATAAATGGGGAAAAAACAGGGCAGAAACCCCAAAAAACCCCAAAAATCCACCCCAGAAATCTCTATAACCCCCCAGGACTGGCCCGGCATGATGGCGTGCGGCTTGGAGACACTGGGGGGAGAGAAATGGGGAGAAATGGGGCAAAAACGGGGTGAAATGGG